ACCCACCGGGAAAGCCGTCTTCTAGCTTCCCACGGGTGCGTCACGACATGTAAACCTCCTGCTTCCTAAGTAAGTGAATAAATGTAAAGGCCAACAAGGAGCAATTGTGAAGGCCTGGGTGCCCTGGGTACTGGCCCAGTGAAATGCAGGAGCCTGCAGCAGGAACACAGGGGGCGTAAAACACAGTGTCTCTAATTTTCTCCTCTGTAAATAACACCGAGACAAACGCTTTGCATGCAATGTCTAAAATATCACGTACTAGCTGGGCATTGTGGTGCATTCCCTTAACCCTGGGATTCAGCAGACAGAGGCATCTCAGCGAGTTCGTGACCAGCCTGATCTACCCACTGAGTTCCAGGATAGCCAGGGCTACACCATAGAGAACTTGTCTCAAAATATAAAAACGAAAATGAAAGACCCTGCACTAAAACCACTGGACAAGGAATGATGGTGTCTGCCTTTGATACTAACACTCGGAAAGCATGAAGGTCATCCTCCGCTACATTGCAACTTTGAGGTCAACCTTGGCTACATGAGGCCCTGTGCACTGACGTAAAAGTAGCTCACAAATTCCCAGTTTATTCTCACAGTCATGTGCAGATTTGGATGGGACACTGGATTTGTCTTTCACAGGAATAAAGTCACTGATTGAGGTCCAGTGTGATACAGTGCTGGCCTCAGAGTGGAAAGGGTATGCAAAGTGAGGACCAAGTAAACAGCAGCTTGGAAAAGATGTTCATACACACACACACACACACACACACACTCACATACACTCACACACATACACACATATACATACACACACATACACACACTCACCCACATACACACATACACACTCACACACACATACACACATACACACTCACACACACTCACCCACATACACACTCACACACATACACACTCACACACATACACACACTCACACACACATACACACTCACACACACTCACACACTCCCTCATACACACACACTCACCCACATACACACTCACACACACATACACACGCACTCACACACATACACACACTCGCACTCACACACATACACATACACACTCCCTCATACACATGCACACACACACATATACACACTCACACACACACCCTCATACACACACACACACACATAATTTTTCTTATTTTACATATTGATCCCAGTTGTCTCTCCCTCCCTCCCAAGGCCCTGTCTTTTAAAAACCAAGTATTGTATTGAAAACAGGACCTGCTGGCTCAGTTCTGTAATTCTAGCTAGTTCAGGAGGCTGAAGCAGGAAGGTCTTGAATTCCTGCTTGGGCTGTATATTAAGCTCAATTCCCTGCTTAAATGAGACTTGTCTCAGAACAATAAATAGGTAGGTAGGTGGGTAGATAGATAGGTAGGTAGGTAGATAGGTAGACAAATAGGTAGATAGATAGGTAGGTAGGTGGGTAGATAGGTAGGTAGGTAGATAGATAGGTAGGTAGGTAGGTAGAGAGGTATAGATAGGTAGGTAGGTAGGTAGGTAGGTAGAGAGGTAGATGGATAGGTAGGTAGGTAGATGGATAGGTAGGTAGATAGGTAAATAGGTAGATGGATAGGTAGGTAGATAGGTAAATAGGTAGATGGATAGGTAGGCAGGTAGATGGATAGGTAGGTAGATAGGTAGATGGATAGGTAGATAGGTAGGTAGGTATGTAGGTAGATAGAGAGGTAGATGGATAGGTAGGTAGGTAGGTAGGTAGGTAGAGAGGTAGATGGATAGGTAGGCAGGTAGATGGATAGGTAGGCAGGTAGGTAGGTAGGCAGGTAGATGGATAGGTAGGTAGGTAGGTAGAGAGGTAGATGGATAGGTAGGTAGGTAGATGGATAGGTAGGTAGGTAGGTAGAGAGGTAGATGGATAGGTAGGTAGGTAGATGGATAGGTAGGTAGGTAGATGGATAGGTAGGTAGATAGGTAGATGGATAGGTAGGTATGTAGGTAGGTAGGTAGAGAGGTAGATGGATAGGTAGGTAGGTAGGTAGATGGATAGGTAGGTAGGTAGGTAGGTAGGCAGGTAGATGGATAGGTAGGCAGGTAGATGGATAGGTAGGCAGGTAGATGGATAGGTAGGCAGGTAGGTAGGTAGGCAGGTAGGCAGGTGGACGGAAGGAAGGCTGAGGGTACTGGAGAGGGGTAGGGTGTTTGCCCAGCATGTGTGGGACCCTGGGTTCGATCTCCAGTATGTTAAAAGAGGAAGGGACTGGAGGCAGTGGGAGGGGCCCTGCTGAGTGATAGAGCATCTCAGATTTTGAGGATGTGGGTGGAGTACACTGTAAACTGAACAGCTGGGCACTCACTGAACTGATTGATCTGTTGTCTGTGCTCTGCAAAGGCAGGAGGTGAATGCTCTTCCCTCAAGAAACAGGAACTCAGTGGGTGGGCCCCAAAAGGGAGTGTGAGCTTTGAAACAGGAAAAGAAGTCTGCTTCTGACAGTCAAAGACACAACGCTATGCTGCCCGTTCATCCGATGGCATCATTCAGACCTGTCACTCATGCCCACCGAGGTCAAACCTTTGCTTGTTTTTTTGTTTTTGTTTTTTCAAAACAGGGTTTCTCTGTGTAGCTTTGTAGATCAGGCTCCAACTCACAGAGATCCATCTGCCTGTCTCTGCCTCCCAAGTGCTGGGATTAAAAGGCATGCACCACCATCACTGGGCTTAAGCCTTTGCTTTTTAAAGATGTATTTTATTGTTAAATATATGTGTGTGGGTCTGTGCATATGAGTGCAGGTCCTGTGCAGAACAGGGGTGGATTACAGCCCAAGGTAGTTCTGTAGTTCTGACTGGCCTAGAACTTGCAATGTAGACCAGGCTAGTCTTGAACTCAAAGACACTCACCTGTTTCCCAAGCACTGGAATTAAAGGTGAGAACCACCACATCTGGTTTCTTTTCTTTTCTTTTCTTTTCTTTCCTTTTTTTTTTTTTTTTTAATTATGTGACTGGGTATTGATGGAGCATGCCTTTAAAATCCCAGCACTCAGGAAGGAGGGAGGCAGAGGCAGGCGGATCTCTGTGAGTTCAAGGCCAGCCTGGTCTGCAAGAGCTAGTTCCAGGACAGCTTCCAAAGCCACAAAGAAACTCTGTCTCAAAAAAAAAAAAAAAATTATGTGTATGCATGTGAGCTTGAATGCGCGCGCGCGCGCGCGTGTGTGTGTGTGTGTGTGTGTGTGCGCGCACGTGTGCGTGCGTGCGCATGTGTAGAGTTAGAGGGTGACCGTGGGGCACTCCTTCTCTCCTGCCTTGGCCTGCTGTGCCATCTGACCAGGTCACATTAGTTTTCTGTGCCGTGCTTTTTAATTTGCTTTTGTCCCAACGACTGACATGTTGCATTTTCCTCAGTCCCCATCCCCCCCTCACTGAGTTCTAATTGATTACATTTCTAATTGATTACATATGCCTACAGATATTCCATGCCACCATTGAATGTATATCAAGGGCTTAACACGTGGATTGGGACCAGAGACTTCTTCAAATGACCTGTGATGACGAGTACAGTGTTAGAAAGGCCGGGGGATTTTTAAAATGTTTATCATTATCAGTGTGTGTGTGTGTGTGTGTGTGTGTGCTCGTGTGCCACAGTGCATGAGTGGAGGCCATTTTTATTCTCTGTGGATCCCCGGGTTTGAACTCAGACTCCTGAGGCGTATGTGGCAAGCACGTTTGCCCTCTGAGCTGATTTCCAGTCCAGAAAGGAAGTCGTCTTTCACACATCGTCACTTGTAAAATGAGGGTCCTGACTGATGTCAGGAAGCATTCTGCTACAGACGGAGTAGCCTCCCCCTGCGTTTCCATCAGTGCTTGTAACTGCTACCCCAAGACTGACTTTTGCCTGACACTTGGAGGTATGATCTGAATGCCTGGGCTTTCTAGCCATGGTATCAGTAAGAGTAGCGCCTGGGACCCGTGAGATGGCATGGTTGGTAAAGACGTTTGCTGCTGAACCTGAAACCCGGTTCAGTCTCCAGGACCCACATGGCTAAGGGATAGAATTGACTCCCAAAACTTGTCCTCTCACCTCCACACATGTGCCATGACATGTGTGCACCATCTCCACACATGTGCCATGGCATGTGTGCACCACCTCCACACATGTGCCATGACATGTGTGCACCACCTCCACACATGTGCCATGACATGTGTGCACCGTCTCCACACATGTGCCATGACATGTGTGCACCACCTCCACACATGTGCCATGACATGTGTGCACCACCTCCACACATGTGCCATGACATGTGTGTACCGTCTCCACACATGTGCCATGACATGTGTGCACCACCTCCACACATGTGCCATGACATGTGTGTACCGTCTCCACACATGTGCCATGACATGTGTGCACCACCTCCACACATGTGCCATGACATGTGTGCACCGTCTCCACACAAGTGCCATGACATGTGTGCACCACCTCCACACATGTGCCATGACATGTGTGCACCATCTCCACACATGTGCCATGACATGTGTGCACTGTCTCCACACATGTGCCATGACATGTGTGCACTGTCTCCACACATGTGCACAAAATAAACAGATAAAACACATATGAAAAAAACCAGCATTTATGCAGCACTCAGGAAGCAGAGGCAGGCTATCTCTGTGCTATCTCTGTGAGTTTGAGGCCGCCCTGGTCTACAGAGCGAGTTCTAGGACAGCTAGAGCTACACAGAGAAACTCTGTCTCAAAAACAACCAACCAAACAAAGTAGCATTTGTGTGGAGTGGAAGGTTCTTTTGTACCTCACTTGATCATACTGTCACATACTGATGCCTGGAGAGCAGAATGTACTAATGTTTCCTTTGGGTTCATCTAACCAAAGCAATGTCACGTTTACTGTAAAATCCAGAGCATTTCCAGTTTCTCCATCTTTCCTGCGGTTGTGGCAGGTCTGGGGTTAGGGAGGGGCAGTTAGTGCTGTTTTTCTCTAGTTGTGACTTGCGCACTCTTGCCTGGGGATGGGCACTCACCAGCAAGCAGTGACACAGAGCGTGGAAGTGTTGTTGATTTGTCTCCAGCTCATCCCAGTCCAGCTTCCAGCAGCTCGTGGGTCTGAGGATGAAGGGGAGTCCGTAGGTCAGGGACTCACAGATCCCACTGGATTTCAGAGCCCTGGAAAAGGAAGACTTCTTAGTGGCATCCTGTACCTCGAACCCTACCCATCTGAATACAGCTCTGATCTGGCGCCCTATTGTGGGAGCTTGTGGATCAGGGTGTGTAATTTACAGGGCCTGTGATCAGTATCAAGCATGGAATCTGCCACACTGACAGCTCTCAGAGCTCAACAGTCTTTGCACGGGGCCTTGCGCTATGGACCAGAAAGCAGCAAAGCTGGGCTTTCCCATGGTTGTTGAGAGCTGGATCCCCCGAAGCAGCCAGCTCTCCCAGCACCTAGAGGAGTGGTAGGGATGGAGTTGGACCTTGACCTGCTTTGCCCTCGAAAGGCTCGTTCCCCCGCTAGCGGCTGGCTGACCACCCTTGTGTCCACCTTGCTTTTCCCTCAAGGGCCACGTTCCCGATTCCTGCTCACACGCCCTCTGCAGTGGCGGGTCTAGTCTGCCCCTTGCCTTCCTTACACTTGCTGACCTCCTTCGTCCTCTCTCCCCATGACATACTTATCACTGCTGTCTGCCCACTGACTGCTGCCTGACGGCTAAGGTGTAACCAAAACCTGTGCTCTCCCAGGCCACGGCACGAGGAAGGGCAGAGGAGAATGGCGAGGCTTCCTCAGCGCATACTTGATCACTTGCAGCTTGTACGGAGACTCTGATGACAGGGAAGCCATCTGGTAGAGTGTGCTGAGGTCTCCTTTGGGGTCATCTATCCTCAGAGTACCGTCGGCTGTGCCAGGAAGCAGGGATGGGCTGAGAAACCGCTCTTGGAGGTCACATTTCAGACATACCGCTATCAAAGGAGAGTCAGAGAAGAGACCAGGTTACAGGTTACCCCAGGCTGTCACTAACAGACAAGTTCGCTTCCACTAGGCAGTCAAGGGTGAGGAGGAGGTGGGGGGGGGGGGAGAAGAAGGCACGCTCGGTTGCGGAGGCAGAGCAGACCTGCCACCTGTGTTCTAGCTATTGCTCCCACGGTTTACTTATTCTCTGAGCCTGGCATGATTTCCCCTTGCTTTACGGCTGGGCTCACTGAGCATCTGTCTCATAGCAAGAGGTTGGTTTGTCATTCAGTTCAGGAGAGACACGAGTCCTTTCTGGAGCAGCTAATGCTTGTTAGGTCTCAAACCGGGGAGGATATGCAGAGGCGCTTGGGTAACCACAGAAGGAAATCTTGTCTTTGCTGCTTCCCTGCGGCTTTGGCAATTGTGCTGGTCAGATGAAGGAAGAACAGGAAAGCAGAAGTCAGGGAGTCAGCTGACTGCCGCTGTTTTTCTCTGGGCTCTTTTAGGGGTTGTTCAGGACTATGGGAGGGACAAGTTCCTGAAATAGCTTATGTTTAATGCCTGGAAGGAACCTGAGTATTGGACCTCCAAGGCCTTGGGGCACAGCGGCAGCCTTAGACACGAGAGGAGTGTATAGACTGGCACGGAGTTGTACTATTCTCAATGTCTGGCACCCTGTGTGTGTGTGTGTGTGTGTGTGTGTGTGTGTGTGTGTTCATTGGTATTTTGCCTGTGTGTATGTCTGTGTGAGGGAGTAACAGACAGGGGTGAGCTGCCATGTGGGTGCTGGGAATTGAACCTGGGTCCTCTGGAAGAGCTGCCAGCACTCTTAACTGCTGACCCATCGCTCCAGCCCCACCCCCTTTTGAGACAGGCTCTCCTGTAGCCCAGGTTGACCTCTGACGTGTTGTGTAGCTGGAACCCCTGCTCTTTCTGCCTCTACCTCACGAGAGCTGTAATTTCAGGTGTGTGCTACTTTTCCTGGCTTTTCATTAGGTTTCTAGTCCAGCAATTACCTTCAGGTGCCAAATGACCTGTTGTTCTAAGCCTGAATCCTTGATGCTACAAAGCATTAAAATACATATGTGGCTTGAATATGGATAGCAATCTTGCAAGTATACGAACCCTGAATCCTTGTGAGGAGGTTGGTAGGTTATGATGGTTTGTGGAATGACCAGACTGCCTCATGAGGCAAAAATAAAAGCAGAAGCAAATTGCAGTGACATACATCTATGAAGGCTTCGTCTAACAAATATCTGTTTATGTTATATACTAATTTAGAAACCAAATTAAAAACCGTCAAGGTTAACATGGGAAGACTAGACTGGGTGATAGATTCAGGACTTTGTTTACGAACATGCCTCCCTTCATTTCTTCTCTGCCTGTCTTTCCCATTTACTGGTTACTGGGGTTTAGGACTGGGAAGCTTTTTCCATCTGGATGAAGTTCTCATTGGTTGCAGCAAGAACCACCCTACGAGGTAACTGCAGTCTGCTCTTTATTGTGGGTTTTTATAATCTCCATGGGCTATATCATTCTGGAGGAGACAATTTCTCCAGGCTGTTCCAGTTGTGCCTGACGTCTGGATTCCAGTGAGGCCCTGGCTTGACATGCTGAAGCTCTGTGGACTTCTGAAGCACGGCTACAGTTGGAGAAAGTATATTCTGACTCTGGCCCCGGAGATAAAAGCTTGGAGAGGGCATGGAGGGAAGCTGGGGAAAGTCTGATCTGAGCCGAGTGGAGAGGAAACAGACGCCAGTAGTCTCTGCACTTTGAGGGCCCCAGCTCACTAGTGAAAGAAGAGGATCGCTATCGCTTTTGTTCAGGGTGCCTGAGCTCCAGAGTGGTTAGTGACGGACAAAGGCCTAACTCTTGGAGGTAGATAGACCAGTGCTTGTTGAGCGTGCTCTGGGCAAGAACTGTCAAGAGTACAAATAGAGATTTCTGATCCTGAGGTGAAGAAGGGGCCTTGGAATTGCTTTTCTCCGAAGCCCTAGAGAAGTGTTTAATTTCTCTGTCTTACTTTCCTCATGCGTAAACACAGGCATAGTATTGTGTTTGGCTTGTAGACAAGTTTTTCACACACTAGGACAATCGCTGTTGGTCAGGCAGACAATTTTAGCACTTGAATTCTCCCAGGAAGGATAAAATTATCCTACCAAGTGACGAGTAAGCACTGTCGGGTTTGATTGACAGCGTTTCTATTCTTAGCGGCATGAAAATAGTGGCACGTGGTATAATCGATAGCATCTTTGATCTGATGACATATTCAGTGGCCGCATTCGACTGGTGGCGGTGTGTAAAGCAGAAGGGGATTATGCAAGAAGTTAGCATAGTAGCTTGGCAGAGAAAAGGCACACAAACCAAGCCAGCCTCTGTGTAAAGTTGCTGGCTGCTTTTACTGAGGAAGGTGAGTGGGTGAATTGCAGAGGAATTGCAGATCAGCTTGGAGCACAATACAGAGGAGGTCCTGGGAAGATATTTTACAGGCAAAGGAACACAGATTACTGTCGAGTTAAGCCGTCAAAGGTATTCCAGGCCTTAGGTGCTGTAAAAGAAAAGTTTTTTATTTAGTGTGTGTGTGTGTGTGTGTGCGTGTGTGTGCGCACATGCATACCATGGGACATATGTGTAGGCCAGAGAACAGCCTTTGGGAATCTTTTTTTCCATAACATGGGGCCTGGGATTGAACTCCAGTAGTCAGGCTTAGTGGCAAGTGCCTTTACCCACTGAGCCATCCTGCTGGTCCCAAGGCCAAGGGGAAGAAACAGAATCTGATAGCTGTCCCTGGGAAGAGGGGGATCCACATTTCTATTTATGCTTTCAGAGGGCTTTCCCCCGTCCTGAAAAGCAACAGTCACAGCAGAGTGCTGTTACACTATGAGAAGAGATTTCAGACATACTGCTAGCTGGGGCTGGAGGGATGGCTCAGCAGGGAGGGCACTGGCTGCTCCTCCAGAGGGACCAGGTTCAATTCCCAGCACCCACATGGCAGCTCACCATTATCTGTCCCTTCAGCGTCATGGGACCCAATGCCCTCCTCTGGCATCTGTGAGCACCACAAGCACATGGCACGCAGACACACATGCAGGCAAAGCACCCATACACATTCAACTGTGTTCCATACATATGGAGCCTGGAGAGATGGTATAAAGCACATGCCATGTCAGAACCTGGGAAAAGGACTTGGAAAGCATGATACCCAGTTCCACTTTTAACCCTCTGTGATCTCCGTAGTTGCTACCATGATCCCGTCCTTCGGAGAAAACGGGTACAAACCCCAACCCAAACACGCTTTGTAGCCTTCCCTGATGAAATGGGTCCTCGGGAGCTGCCCTTCTTAAACGCAGTGTGGCTGCCTACACGGATAAGTCCACTTGGCATCAGCCACAGCAGTGTCTAGGACCTTGTTGACATGCCTGGTGCTGGCTAGCTGCCTGAGCGAGAAAAGGATTTTATGTTTAGTGTACAAGTTATGTAGTATATAATGTATGCACATTACATGAGTGCAATGGCTGAAGAAGGTGTCGGATCCCCTGGAACTGGAGTTACAGGAGATTGTGAGCCGCCATGTGGGTGCTGGGAACCGAGTCTAGGCCCTCCACAAGAACAGCCAGTGCTCTGAAGTCACCGAGTCATCTCTCTCTGGCCCCTGAGAGATTTTTACTTGCTGTTATTATTCTTATCACAGGCAGTGTTGATATTATCAAGGTAAAAGACTCTTGAATTGTAGTTCTAACAATACCTCCCACGCTAAGAGAGAGAGTATTGGGAACAGCACACACTTTGGCGTCTCTTGCTATGGCGCAGCCAATGTCTTATCGTTGAGGCATGAAGGACTTGGCCTCTGTAACCACTTGGCCCTTGCTGGCTGGGACGGTCACTCTTTAGGCTTTGCTCTGTATTCCCATGCTGCCATTAGACAGCGTCACCCAATCCTCCTCCAACCCTTAGGCCTCAAATGTGTGTTTCGATGACTCAGCGGAGTCATCTAGACTTCTAATCCCAGACAAGGACAGACTTAGCCTACAGAACCTATCTTTTCAGGGTTGTGTACTTGGATTATCCCCGGTTCTGGAAGAAGGTGGAAGGCTCTGTGAAGCAAGAAGAAGATGGATGTGTTCTCGGTCCGTCTCGCTGTTGTGCAGCCAGGCTTTGAAGAAGACCTCCATGGTCACAACATCATTGTCAAGGATCTGAAGGACAAGGTCAGTTTCCAGGGTGGCACTCTCTGCAGAAGAAGGGAAAATGGTGGCTAAGGTGTTTTCGTTTGTTCTGGGGAGGTATTATTCATTTAAGATTTTTAGGGGTGGGGGCAGGGCTGGGAAGATGACTGACTGTTAAGAGCACGTACTACCTGCTCTTGCACAGGACCTGAGTTCAATCCCGAGCAACTATGTCAGCTGGGACACAACTGCCTGTAGCTCCAGCTCTTGGGATCTGATTACCTTTCTTCTAAACTCTGAGGGTATCTGTACTCACATGATGGGAGATGTTATTCTGTATATGTTTCTCTTATTGGTTGGTGAATAAAACACCGTGTGGCTAGTGGCCAGGCAGAACAGATGGGGGGACTACCAGACGAAGAGAATTCTGGGAGGTGTAGGCAGAGAGGAGTCCACATGTGAGCCCAGGAAGAGAGTACGTGAGTCAGTAGTTCTCCAGTAAGAAAAGACCATGTAGAAATACATAGATAGTAGTTATTGGTCAACAATTAAGACAGAGCTAGCCAATAAGAAGCCCAAGCCACTGGCCAACAGTACTATAATTAATATAAGTCTCTGGGTGTTCGTTTGGGGCGAGGCAGTTGCAGAACTGGATGGGAAGCTTCGTAACAAAGTGGCGCCCAACGTGGGACTCGAACCCATGGCCCTGAGGTTGAGTCTCATGCTGAACTGACTGAGCTAGCCAGGTTCTTTTGTATCCCTTTCCCTGACTTCTCCTCCTCTCCTAGGCCCACCTATCTTCCTGTTTCATTGGCCATTGGCCCAATAACGTTTTATTCATCTACCAATAAGAGAAACATATACACAGAATAACATCTCCCATCACTCACACATGCACACACATCATTTAACATAAAAATAAGTCTTCACAGTGATTTACAAATAGATTAACTGTTTATGTGTTGGGGCTGGAGAGATGGCTCAGCTATTGAAAGCACTGTTTTTACAAAGGATCTGGGTTTGATTCCCAGCTCACGTGGTGGCTCAAAACTGGCTGAAACTCAGGTTCTAAGGGATCCAATGCCCTTTTTGGACCTCAGCAGGCACTAGACATGTATGTGGTGCACATATATGTGTATAGGAAAAATGTACATGTAAAATAAATCTAAAAATGTTAAATATCGCTATGTGTTTGGCTGTTTTGTCTGCATGTAAGTTTGTACACCCAAAGCATGTCTGACGCCCACAAAGGACAGAAGAGGGTATCAGATGCCTTGGAACTGGAGGCATAGACTGCTGCTGTGAGCTGTCTTGAGGGTGCTGGGAATCGAATTTAGGAGAGTACTCTTAACTGCTGAGTCATTTCTCCAGCCACTTATTTTTAATTTTTAGTTATGTGTCTGTGTGAAGGAACATGGTGTCAGATTCCCCTGATCTGGAGTTACAGATAGTTATGCACTACCTGTGTGCTGGGAACCTCTGAGCCATCTCTCCAGCCCAAGGGTTTAATTATTGTTGTTGTTTTTGATACAGGGTTTAACTGTGTATCCCTGACTGTCCTGTATCTCCCTATGCAGATCAGGCTGGCTTTGAACTCAGAGATCTGCCTGCCTCTACTTCACAACTACTGAGATTAAAGGTATGCACCACCACACCTGGCAAAGTATTTAATTTTTTAAACTTTTTTTTTTTTCAATATAGAGTCTTGCTATGTAGCTCTGGCTAGCCCAGCATTCACTGTGTAGAGCAGGCCTTGAACCTGTCACAAGCCTCTTACCTTTGCTTCCCAGTTGCTGGGATAACAAACATGAACCATCGCAAGCATCTAACTTTTTAATTATAAATTTTGAAAAGTATAAACTTTAAGCATACCTATCTTCTGATACATCCGCTGTATGCTTCAATATCTGTCCTACACATATTCTGGAGCATACACAAGAGACATATACAAAGACATTTGGCACAGCACGGCCATACCAACAATGAAACTTCAAACAGGAAGCAAGTCTAATGCCCGTCAACTGAGGAACGCTCAAACAGATTACAACACACTCAAACTGGTGTGTACTGTGTAATCGTTAGCAATTTCAATATAAGTATACCAACATGGGAATCTAGAAGGGAGCCATGAAGGAAGTTTAAGGCCGGTATGATCCCATCTGTATGAACATAAAACTACCTGCATAAGTACACATGTGAGTATGTACTTTATAAAAATCTGGAAAGCTTCCACCCAACTGTTAGTTGTTTGGGGAGCGGAAATAGGCAGGGGTAGGAGACACATTGCCTTTTTATTCATACTGCTACATTTTTTTTCGTTTTACCTTGTGCATTTCTGTTATAAAATATCTCAAGGGTCTGAGCATTTAAGAATGCTTGTTGTTCTTGCAAAGGACCAGAGTTCCAGCATTCACACTGGGCAACACACACACACACACACACACACACACACACACACACACACCCCAAATGACTAAAATAAATCTTTAAAAAAAACTAAAATATTCTAAAACATAAAAGCTTTGCTGAAGGTTAGTTATTAAAAAGACATTATCAGTTTTGTGTTGTCAATCATATACATTAATTATCACCCCTGTTAAAATGAATCTGAACGTCTATCTAAAAGAAACAGATGAGCTATTGTATCAGGCTCTACCTTGTGACGAGACAGATTACAGGGTTAGTCACTGGAACACTGTCTCACAAGCCTGTTTGGCGTAAAGAGGAGGGGCTGGGCTGGTGTGTGACAGCGGCTCTGGGTAGGTGGGTCGACCGGCTTTGCTAGGGTACTTCTGAATTCAGCCAGATCTACCTCTGGTCCTGGGGTCTGGTTCTGCAGATGGCCGTGGTCAGGGACGGTCAAGTAAAAAGTAGTTGAGGAGGCACAGGGATGTGAGGGGACAGGGATGGAGGAGAAACCCTGAAGGGCTTGCCGAGATACAAAGGGCCTAAGAAAAGCCAGCGGCTCCAATGAATTAACGTCTGTGTATGACTCATGAATGCCGCACGGTTTATTTCTAGAACGACATTCCTGAGGAGAAGTTGGTAGAGGTGGCAGACTCTTCACCACAAAAACAAAGAAGGTTCAGTCCACCATGCTGGCTCCAACGCAGGCCGCGTGGGGCATTAGATGACTTCACATCTCATTCAAGGACAGGGATAGCAAGCACCCGCACCCCCCTTTTCTGTTCAGCACAATGAACTCTGCTAGAAAGTTATTCAGGCTCATTCATTATTGCTGCTTCATTCATTCCATCCGGAGCCGACGGCTCTCTGTCCCCGGGGAATTTTAAAAGCAGCATCACCACGATGATAAGCGCAAAGATATTGCCAAAGAAACGCTTACACGACAGCGTGGATCTGGTGCTGGCATAGGCAAACGATCCATAGCTTCCTGTCCTCTTTTTCCTGACCTTTTGAACTTTGCCTTGTGTTTGGGGAAGGGTGAGCAGCTTTCTCTCAGTGACACAAAAGAGCCATTAGGGACACAAGGGCAAGGGAAGAAGTAAAGAGAGGGAACTGAGGGTCTGCAGAGGTGGCTCAGTGGTTAAGAGCCCTGGCTGCTTTTCTAGGAAACCTGGGTTCGAACCCCAGCACCTCCCTGGCTAACAACTGCCTGCAACCCCAGTTTCCGGGGGAGCCAGCTGGCCACCCTCTGCCTTCACCAACACACATACATATAAAACACTTACACACATAAAGTAAAAAAAAATATATATATATGAGAGCTCAGAGAAGTGAGTATAAAGGATCAAAGGCTGGAAACTCCTGCAATGGAAAACGGGGATAGAAGACATCCATATTACGAGTTAGAAACAAAAGGGTTTCCTATTAACATGTCCTTTGTTTTTTGTTTTCCTTTTGGTTTGGTTTTTTGAGACAGGGTTTCTCTATGGCTTTGGAGCCTATCCTGGAACTCTCTTTGTAGACCAGGCTGGCCTGGAACTCCCTGAGATCCACCTGCCTCTGCCTCCCGAATGCTGGGATTAAAAACGTGTGTGCTACCACCCCGGGCTCCAACCCCCATTTCTAAGTTCTGAGCCTGCGCACTCACTCTGGGAAGAGTAACAGCAGAGCTGTCCCCTTTGAAGGAATTCTCATGTCCCCACAGCAATGCTGAGTGGGCTTCAGGGTTGAGTTCCTTTTGCTGTCTCAGGAGTGGTGTCCTTCCAGGGACAGGGTATAGATGGTTCGTTCATCTGCTAAGAGCGCGGCCTGTTCTTTCAGAGGACTCAGGTTCGATTCTACCGTCACTTGCTCACATGTCCTGACCCACCCTCCATTTGTAGGTGATGTTGGCAGGGCAGGGCGTACAGTTCGTTTTGCACTCGGTGTTGGGAACACAATCCCCCCCCCCATTTAAATGTAGGCTTCTCTTCACACACACCCTCCCCTGTCCCCCAGCTCAGGGCCTCTCAGCCTGAGCCGAATCTTAGCAAAGGCCTGCTTGCTTCTTTTGCTTTTCCTGTGACTCTTCAGCTTCAGCTAAGTTCGTCTCCTTGTCACATGACTTCCTTCCTTCCTTAGGACTTTTATTGCTCTGTTAATCCATGGGCATTTGACTCAGAACTTTGTCCAGGAGCTATGTTTAAATTACCCCTTTGTCTGCCCTAATTAGTACCTACCGGGTGTCTGTGGGCTGCATTTCTACAGTGTTAATCATACTCCTTATTTCTTCTGAAGGGTTTCTCTGCCTGGGTTTATGAAGCGCAGTGAGATTAAGTGGAAAGACCAGGACTTGAATTGTGCCTTGAATATTGTTAGTTGTGTGTTCTTGGGAAGGGAAAGGACACTAACCTGTCTCCTAGTTAACCATGATAGCATACAGTAGGTCCAGCCTCCTTCCTCCTCCTCCCTCCCCATCTGACTGTCCCTCTGAGATGAAACAGGGTCTCCTATGACCCAAGTTGGTCTCAAACCCATTGTGTAGCCAAAGATAGTCTTGAACTTCATTACCATTCCCAGTTTATGTGGTGCTGAGGGTGAAACCAAGGGCTTTGTGTACGTAAGATAAGCATGTTAGTAACTGAGCTACATGCCCAGCCCTTTCCTCTTCTCTCATAGA